TTGGGGTTGAGACCTAGTTCTTCCACATGACTGGCCAGTGGCTCACATAATTTCTTTCATACCATTAGGACTCGGTTTCTTCCTATGTGAAATGAGGATAATAGGAATTTCATAGAGTATCATAAAGTTAAGGGAATAGTAGGGTAAGGACCTTTTTAAACTGTAAACAATCTTAAACATTTGCCTATCTGCATCCCCTAGGTGAAGAAGTAGTATTTGAAAAGGGATAGTGATAGCTACATATCACAAAATATCCAAATTATCTTTTTTTTTTCATAGAAGAACTGGGGTATAGGCCAGAGGTGTGGGGGTTGGGGGGAGTTGTTAGGGGATACACCAGAGACAGAGTAGGGAGCAGAACAGATGGAGATGGATCTACTGAAATACACTGCTAAGGGGAACAGCAGGAGAGACAGGAGAGGTCTGCTGTGCCATGTGTGGGTTAGCTCCCTGGCCAGGGATCAAAATGAGTCTGTAGTGGTGACAGTTTTGAGACTTAACCCCTAGGCTACCAGGGAAGAACATATCAAATTATCTTATCAAAATGTGTACATTGGTGGATGCCTGGGTGAAGACTATAATAAAAGTTTTTAGTGTTAGAAAACTCTAGATCATTTATTCAATTTTTACATTTCAAAATTTTGGTACTACCCACAGTTGAAGCCAGAGAGATAATTAGTCCTCTTCTTTTATTTAGTATTAACCATAAACTTGAAGATGATTATTAATTTATCCCTTAGCCCTATCATCTCTAAGATAATGTAAGAACTACCTTTTCTACCTTTCACCATACACTTTATATTGAAATTCTTTAATAAATATTCCTAAAACACTTGCAGCTTTTTTGAATCTATGCAATTATTTGGAGTCTGAAATTAGCATACTTTTCTCATAGGAGTCTAATCGAAAAAAGATGTGTTCATTGAAAATGATCTATATAATTGGAATTTGGGAAAGTTGTCAGCAACTGAAATAATTTAATTCTGAGAAGAGTTAGAGAATTATTATCAGCCCAACACTGTTGATCTATCTGCTTTTGATTAAAATAGAAAATGGGGAAAGAAATTAAGATGTCCTTGGGTCCTCCCTAGTGGTGCAGGGGTTAAGTCTCAGCGCTACAGATACTTAGATATGATATACAAGTTCATATGGTTAATCTACTTTTAATATTTTGAGGAGCCTCCATCTGTGTTTGCACAGGGCCTTGCACAGCCTACATTTCCACCAACAGTATATGACGTTTTTTTTTTTTTTCTTCACACCCCTGCCAACATTTCTTTTTCTGGTTTTCAGTTTTGCTTGGATATGTTAAAATTACAATTGAAAACTAGGTTCAAGGTCAAAGCTCAAATAATTGGAAATTACAGTTATTTGTGTTAGAAGTTTCTTTTTTATCATGGATATTTTGAATGACAGCTGATAAGACTTAATCAGCCAACTACTTTCTCTTTGATCAAGACTCAAACCTGCTCTGGGCAGGAGTGAAAATAAGGAAATAATTAAGAGACATTTCCTTGGAGTGTGACACTTGGAATACTTTGGATTAAAAGCCTCTCAGAGTACAAAGTAGGTCCTTTGTGATTATGTAGGAGAATCAAATTAATTGTCTCAATTCTGTGCTAGAGCACAAGGGCAGCTTCTAGTATTTCACATCAATTCCCTCTGCCCTTTATTTTATATCAATTACCTGTGAGTCAAAGGTTGATGTGTTCCTTTTGTTTTATAAGGCTGGGAAGTGTCCGTGCATTCCCTGTGCTCAATGATGGGCCAAACTCTGGAGCCTGTGCTTTCAACTGAATTTCCTCATAGGCCACAGAGAACCTAAGGGAAAGCATAGAGTTTACTTTTAAAGGGTTAAGCTAATAGGGCAGTACAGTTGATCTTGAGGGGGAGGTGAAGCCTTGCTCAACCCACAGAGTTAAAAATCTGATATAATTTTTTTAAAGATTATTTATTTATTTATTTATACAAGAACCGGGGTACAGGCCAGATGCATGGGAGGGTGAAAGGATTCACCAGAGACAGAGTGGGGAACAGAACAGGTAGACTGATGAAATACACTGCTAAGGGGAGCAGTGGGCATGACAGGGGAGGTCTGCTAGCCATGTGGGACCCTCGCCGGCTGGCCGGAATTGAACCAGTACTGCAGAGCCTGCAGACAGCTTCACAGCACAGCACTCAACTGCCTGCGCTACCAGGGGAGGCCCAAAAATCTGATATAATTTTTAACACCTTCTGATACCCTTGGTATTGGAGAAAATTGGTTTCAGAACTCTCAACCATTACCAAAATCAGTGGATGCTAAGTCCCTTGTAGTTGGTATGGATTCCATAAACTATAGAAAAGATAGAAAAAAAAATCCGGTATACATGTCCTATGAAGTTCAAACCCATGTTGTTTAGGAGTTAGCTGTCATTTCTAGGGGAGACACCAAGTGGTGGTGGGTCGGTTAGGGGGTTATTACAGCTGCTGTGACAGAGGCCAGAGATGGCCCAGGGCACAGTTTGTCTCCTTAGCCTCTATGTGTTCACTGTATGTGCTTCAACTTCAGCTTTTCTCTATACCACTTATTTTACCTGCAAAATGAGCTTTTCATTGACAAGTTGCAATGCCTATGAATGATCAATAGAAAACTTTCCCCTAATTGTTTCATTTACATAAAAAGGATCAAGTGAGACTCTTGTCTTTAATAGATGGGTAGCCCCCACCACCCGTGTTGGACATCCAAAGCAGACAGACAACAATATGAAGGCCACTCACTTCTATGACACATTTGATGAAAAAAATATGATGAGACCAGAATGTCACAACATTTGTGTGCTTTCTATAGAATAGCTCTATTTTTGACATGAAAGAAGGGGAAAATCACATGCTATATGCTACTCAAAAACAATCCTTAAAATATGACTTTACCCCAACTCCAGAAGCAAATGTCTGTGACTTATATTGAACCATAGGCAAGCTTTTCACACATCCATGACTGAAAATGACTGAAAGTCAAGCTCACCTTATTGTTTGGTGCAGGGGAGGAGGTAGTAGCAGAGGGAGAGCTGAATTCAGTAGAGTGTTCATTTGAAGACAAATTGAGGGATTTTGCAGACTACTCAAGTTTAATTAAAAATAAATGTGGAAAATTGTTTTAAAAGATTGTACACAGTGATTATCTCAAATTGCCATGGGATATACAGAAATGCCTCATTAAAAAACACATTTAGACATTTTTATATATAAACTCCATCATTTATATTCTAGCTGAGAAAATCTCATTTCTAAAAAAAATAAATAAATAAAATAACAAGACAAAATATGTCATCATCATTTTTATGTATCCCAGAATATCATATATATGTGTTCAGATGATTTTTGGTATACATAAACAGCAGGAAAACCATTTTAAAAGGAAATTTTATTTGCAAAAATAAAACAAAACCACTGGACAATAGAAGAATGAGTGATGATATATATATATATATATATATATATATATATATACACATATTTTTTTTTTTACAAAAGTTAAAGCAGCATTAAAATTGAGCCAAACCTGGGTAACCTCCAAAATGAGGCTGGGTAGGTGCCACAATCCTGCTTTACTGTGCAATTTCTTGGCTTTAAGTGAAGATTTTACCTCATCTCAGTTCTAAGTGGTGTTTGTATGCTACTTAAATAGCTTGCCTTTTTTTAATTGAAAGATTTATTTGATCCAAAAAGATCAACTTGACTGATGTTTTTGTCATTGAGTTAAGAAAGAGTTCGATGTTGTGTAACCATAGTTACACAGAGGCAGGCTTTCCTCAAAAGCCAAAAGAAAGGCCTACTTACCTTCTGCCTTTTCCTGTCCGATCCTGCAGTAATACAAACATCTTTATTGTAGCTGAGTGGTTGAAGATGTGAGCAAGAGGTTAAGGAGTGAATTTGATGTGGAAAAAGAAAAAAAAAACTCAAAGTTTTTAAGATTGTTCAAGTATTTTATTTCATATTTTAAAGAATTTAAACCTACATTTTGTGGTTTCAGAAAAAAGCATCAGTATTTTGCATAGACATTTATCACCTTAAAGCTAAGTATGAACACTAGACAATGCAGAGAAAATGGGCACTGTACTATAAATTAGTTTTATTATTAATACTCTGCTTCTTTGAATTCTGTCTTGCTGATGATGACTTTCTGTGAGCCAGATTATGGTACTTTTCTTCTTAGAAATTCTCCAATTTGTCAAAGTAGATGATGAATACAATATGCACACATGAAATTGAGAAATATTAACCACTAAAAGAGATTTCATTCTTAGTCTGAAAGCGCAGTGTAGACAATTTGATTACAAGCCTGATATCTCCCTGAGTAGCCCTTTTTAAGCAATTCATTTCTATAACAACATGTGTTGCTTTATGCACTAAGGGTTAATGGAACTCTGGAGATGAGCAACAAACAATTTTGGGAACTAGAAAATATTTCTAAAAAAAGGTTTCGTTTTTCTGCCCTTGGTAACTCTGTGGTAGGGCCTATATGTGCCCTGGGGTATTATGTGCTTAGTCAATTCAAGCTCCTCTGCAAGTGTCTGCTTTGTGCTGTTTACCTGAGGCAAATCTTGCTTTGAAGTATTTATAGACAGTTAACACCTGCCACCCCAAAGCAACTGCTTGGCTAACATCTTATATTGCCTCCCAGAACCCAGATTTTCTAAAAACTAAAACCTAAACTGTAAAATATGAAATAGAAGTACTTCCTGACATTATCTCTGGTTCATGGTGCTTTAGGGGACAATCTAGCCAGTCCCTGGAGCTGAAACACCTTGGTTTGGAGGCACAGCAAGGGCATGGGCATAAGGAGTGGATTGTGAGTAGCAGGAATACAGCCCCCCCGCTCAAATTATCAACCAAATTGCCTAAAAATATATATATTCACTAAAATACAAGCAAAAGAAAAATTATAAACATAGAGCCAATAAAAAAAACTAGGCAAGAAAACTACCCAAGGAAGATCTGAATAAGTATCAACTTACCAGGAACAGTTTATAGGGAATTCTTCATACCATCAGGCAACATGCAGATCTGTATGCACTTCCAGGCTCTTTCTGAATCAAAGTCTCATGGTGCAATATGTGCCTACTTGATTGTCAAAGGTAAGGAGAAAAATCTGACATTACCAATTGCTGGTGAGCCGGTGGATCAGTGGATTCCTCATACATTACAGGTGGAGATGCAAACAGGTGGCTCTACCTGGGAAAGTAGTTTGGCATTACTTACCAGAGTTGAAGGGAGAGGTAACTTAGGACCAAATAGTTGTGTTCATAGGTAAAGGCCTACTAGAAATGTATACATGGATGTTAAACAAAGGTAGAAGAATGTTCACAGCAATATTATTTGTACTGGCTCTAAATGGGAGACAACCTAAATGCCCATCAACAATAGAATGAATTAAAATGTGGCAGTTTTAATAAGATGGAAGACTGTAAGCAGTTAAATTAAAAATATACTTACAGTAAATAAAATAAGGGAATCTTACATACATAATACTGGTCTTGATATAACTAAAACCAAATTATCTATCTATATATGAGTATTCTTATGAAATCAAAAACAAGTTTGGCAAAACTATTTTCTTTAATGATGCATAACAGGAGATAAATGTGTGAGAAAAACAAACAAGGAAACACATATTATAAAAATGCAGGAGCTGATTATCACTACAGCAGACAGCATAATAGTAACCCAAAGTGGATATAGGCAATTTCTGGAGGACTGACAATAGTCCACTTCTTAAACTAAGAATAATTTAAGAAAATTTCATAATAATTTGTTTAGCTATATATATTTATGCTTTATGTATCTTTTTCTGAATGTATTCTATGTTTCTCAGTTAAAAAGCACATCATCAATAACTACTTAATAGTACGAAGTAATACTTTTTGGGGAAACTTTGTGTTCCCAGAATTCAAAACACAACTGCAATTGTACCTATATAAAAACACTGCATACAATCAAGGTTATGTAATACAGGAGAGCAAATATTAGAGCATAAATATTAGGAGCCCTGAAAAATAGAGAGGGGTAGAAAATTATCACATATATGAATATAGCAATATTTATTTTCTCAGAATGAAGGACAACATTCCTAGGAAGCATTCATCAACAAAATGGCTGCATCGCTGAGACTTGCTCTCAGGAACAGTGAAGAGGATCAAAAACCTTCCTTCCAGAGCAGAGAGAGGTGACACTCTGTGGACTTCTCAGGGGCCCGGAGGAATGAAGCAGACATTTGGGCACATTTCATAGACAGAAAGGCGTCCTCCACACACACATGAAGCAATCATTCCAAGGGAAAGCTCAAAGAATCCTCTAATAGGTGTTGTCAGATATGAGGAAACATTGCAAAAGGGGAGCATTTTAGATTTTATGCATCAATTGTTAGTCTCTTACCAGAAGTCACTGGTAAAACCTTATCTATAATCAATTGAATTCTCTGACCTACACATATGAAAAGGGAGAAAAATGTACCTGGAAAGAACATGTTTTTGTTTTTGCTTTTTAATCCAGTGTTTATTACAGATATCTGAGCTGAAGTCTCAGCATAAACAAGAGCTCCAACAAGAAAACAAACCAGAAAGCTGCAGACCCTCCAGATCAGCGAGAACAGAACAGAACAAAGGTGTCCCAAGGGGCAAGAGGAGGGAGACCCGAAGGAGAGGGAAATGATGGAGGAAAAGAAACCTCCAGTGGGTCCCTGAGATCCTTGGGACAGATCCTTGGGACACATTGGAAAATAATTTTCAGGTCATCCCAGAGATTATCAGGTTCTACCTGAGGGAGCCACAAGGTGGGAGAAATAGGGTGAGTGTGATGCTCTGTCCAGAGGTGGCCATCTGAGAAGACCTGACTGATATCCCTGGATGTTTCCTCAGAGACCTACATATCTCATTGAATTTTAGGAAGACAACTCAGTCTTCCCTGAGAGGCTTTGGCATTAATTAAGACATCCCTGCTTTGTTCTACAAGACGTCTCCATGGGCTGAGATGACAAAACGGCCTGTGAGAATGTTTCACTGAATGAATGGCAACTGGAAAAAAGAAAGGAATCGCTCCTAACACTGTTGCTTCCCAGCAGCCCCTTTTTCCTTCCGTATCTTTTTCTCCTACCGGTAGTAGAGCTGCTTTCAGAAAAAGCATAATAGGTCCCTGCTCTAAAACCCTTGATTTTACAACTCAGTTAAAAACACCTCGGCAAGGCAAGGCTGTCTCACTCCCCACTTTGTGTCTCTACTTCCCCCAATGCATGTGTGAGCTGTTCCTAGGGCCACAGTCAGGCACCACACCACTTCTACAGTGACTGTGTTCCTCTTGCTTTTAAAGTCAAGTTCAATGTCACCACTTTTCCGGTGTTCTTCTGCACTTCCTCAGGCAGAGTTCATTATTTTACGTGCAAAGTCCCTGTGGTTGACTGCACTTCCATAACTACATTTGTGATTGTCTATTGATGGATATATTTCTCCCACTAATTTGCATTCCTCGAAGTTAGAAGCATATCCTATTTCTCTTTATGTATTTTTTGTGCCCAGGACATTCTGCAGTCCCTGACACAAGGAGGGGCTTCATAAAAGTTTGCTGAAGTTATCAATGAGTACATTATGAATGGGACATTCCTTGCTGAGGCATGAGTAAGATGCCAGAGGGTATTCTCAGAGCTTGACTGTAAAGCACAGTCAATCTGGATAAAGATCTCACTCTGTTCTGCGGCTCTTAGTCCCGATTCATCAGAAAGTCGACTTTGTGTCTGTCCCACTCACCCTGTGGCTGCATGGCCTTTGTTTCTACTTCAACCATATTGTGTTTGAGAGGCAACAGGCAAACATTTCCTACTGTGCTTTGCAGAAAAGGAGAAGTAAACGCAATCCTGGAGAACAGAACACAATAAGGGAGGATGGGAGAAGATAGAATAAAACCAAATACAAAGAAAATTGCCGTTGTGAGCATTTTATATTAACCTTGTAAATTGATGGATTATCCATTCTGAGCACAAATGTATCAATCAGGGGAAATTATAGAGGCAAAGGATGTGACAGCAGCTGTGTGGTCTGCCTGATGATTCTGGACTCCCAACATTTCTCAGCTTGGTGGTAGAGAAGATGCGGACTAAGAATTAGATGAGGTTGTGAGAAGAATACAAATGTCTTCCACACCAAGGAAAAAGAAAGACCCTAAAGATTATGATTTCAAAAAGTTGCTGTGATGAAAAATTGCTTTCCTCAGGATTGCCGGAAGTTTTGTTTTTGTTTTTTCCACTAGATTATTAAATTTCAGTATCTGTGGCATTCCAAATTTGGGATTTAATGAACCTTACTTAAAAAAAAAAAAAAAAAAAAAACATGAAAGGGCCTCCCCAGTGGCGCAGTGGGTTGAGTGCAGTGCTGTGAAGATGTCCGTAGCCTCTACAGAGCCGGTTCAATTCCTGGCCGGCCAGGGAGAGTCCCACATGGTGGAGCAGACCTCTCCTGCCTTGCCCGCTGTTCCCCTCAGCAGTGTATTTTGTCAGTCTGCCTGTTCTGCTCCCCGCTCTGTCTCTGGTGAATTCTCTCACCCTCCTGCACATCTGGCCTGCACCCCAGTGCTTGTATAAATAAATAAATCTTAAAAAAAAACATGAAAATTGCCATTTTTAAATGACAGAATTGGAGGGGAAAACACATGTATATTATACATATACATGTATTTATTGAATTTACATACAAATATTTAAGGAGAGAACACACACTATCAATGGATGTAAAGGATAACAGAGAATTGCCTATTGTTAAATGTTTAGAAAAGATTCCACCTAAGATTATATGGGTTCATTTCTGTTTAGCACAAAATCTAAACACACATATGCACACACACAAATAAATCACATTGTATGTAGTCTCCTCTTTCTAATTATCAAACCACCTATTTTCCAGAAAGAAGTATTTCGAAAGTGTCAGAGATCATGTGAAATGTACATTTAACATTAAATTTTAATCATTAAAAAAAGATAAATGACTGCAAAGGTGAAATCTACTGATTAATTTCTGTCATATCCAAATTGTACTTTAAGGCAAGAGAATAATGATGATAAATTACATATATTTTTGTATTGATAAAATAACCTGTCCACAGGAGATTTTCTTTAACGTCATTGGTTACAGAGCACAGAGCAATTATGAGTTTATCCCTCCTTCTGGTGAGATGGAAATACCATGAACTCTTACTCATGGTTAATATTACTTAAATATAATATTGATATATATTAATTTGACCAGGGCTCAGAAAAAAAATAAAAACATCATGGGATAGAAAAATAGAAGGCAGTTTGTAGAATCTCTCTCTCTCTCTCTATATATATATATATATTCAAATATTTGAAATTCACATATATGTGTGTATATGTTTATGATTTTTAAAATATTATTTATTTATTTACTTATTTAATTTATTTTTATACAAGCACTGGGTACAGTCAGAAGCGTGGGAGGGTGAGAGTATTCACCAGAGCCAGAGCGGGGAGCAGAGCAGGCAGACTGATGAAATACACTGCTGAGGGGAGCAGCGGGTGGCAGGAGAGGTCTGTGAACCACGTGGGACCCTCGCCGGCGGTCGGGGATGGAACCGGGGCTGCAGAGGCTGCGGGCAGCTTCGCAGCCTGGTGCTCAACCGCTGAGCCACCAGGGGAGGCCCTGTTTATGAATTTTAAATATTTGACTGTTTCCCCTGACATCTCTCACTGAAAACCTTTTCAAGATCAAGAACCCTTTAGCCATTCTTCACTGCATTGCAGGATAAAGATTGTTCAGGCTTCAGAACAGGTCTGCACAGAACAGCTTTGAAAATATTAGCAACAGCTCGTGTTGATTAGGGGCCTGTTAGATTCCAGTTGTGGACCTGGAACTCTCTACCAGTTATTTGATTTAATACTCATTACAACTTTAAGAGGTGGCTCTTGGTAAATACATTTTATACATTAGGAACTCAATATCATGTTAGCACCAACACAGGATATGAATCGGTCTAATTTCAAACTCCATGTACTCTTTATAAGGCAGCAATACTTCTCTCAGTAAGAATCTGAGTGGATGGAAAGATAGGCAGTTTACATTCCCTTATTTATGCATGGATCTATGAGAGCTTCTAATACTTCACATGTTGTTCCAAAGCCCAATAATCTGATTGTCAGACTTAAGACTATATATAAATTTGAAAGACCAGAA